CATCTGTACCTGTGGCTTGAAAAGTAGCATTTTCATAGCTTCCGGGACTGTCAACCAAGAAATTTACGTGAAAGAGTGTTTGAATAAACGTCTGCTGCCTTTCCTGAAGAAACACGATTGTTCCGTACTGTTTTGGCCGGATTTGGCATCTTGCCATTACGGTAAAAAGGCCATGGAGTGGTACGCCGCCAACAACGTGCAGGTGGTTCCCAAGGACAAGAACCCTCCCAACACGCCAGAGCTCCGCCCAATTGAGAAATACTGGGCTATTGTCAAGCGGAACCTAAAGAAGACCAAAAAAACTGCTAAGGGCGAGTAGCAGTTCAAGGCAAACTGGCTTTCTGCGGCGAAGAAGGTGGACAAGGTGGCTGTACAAAATCTGATGGCAGGGGTCAAGCGTAAGGCCCGGCAATTCGGATTTGGAAAAGTGGAAGCCTAACTGAATATTTTTCCTGAATTTTATACTAATTGAACTTGAAAAAGAAATTTAATTTGATTTTTTAAATAAACGATTTCACCGATTTACACGCGTTTTCCCTTGACCAAATTTTGACCGTACCACCCTTTAGTTTAAAACAATTTTGAAACTCAACATTACGAACGGCCTTAGCCAAGATTGTCAAAATTTAACTTCTTGTCTGTCAGAAGCAACCCGGGGGCAACTTGACAAGTCCAGTACATGCTCAGAAACATTATTCTCAAGACTGATAATATTCAAGAGCAAAATATAATAGAATTAACCAATGTGTTTTTATTTCCATTTGATTATATAAGAAAAACTTCCATCAATCTGTTTCAATTTGTTTGGATTTATTTCATTTCACAACGAAAACCATAAATCGCTCTTTTCACATGGCATTCTTGCTTGTTGCTTGACATCCACACATGGTGAAACAAAAAGTTGCCTTCCCATACAGAAATACCATTGCGACGATGAAGGGCAGTCCCTTTGTTTACGTTGTGTGGCGACATCTACTATTTGCAAGTGGGTACGTGAAACTAAGATTATCTGTCACCTTGCCGGGGACTTGGCCAGAAGTAACCACGCTCGGATAGCAGGGTTAATCGATAACTTTTCATCTGTCAAATTTTAACTAAAAGTTAAAATAATCCACCAAATGGTTCAGAGCCTAATACCCCGTTCACATTACAGCCTATATCACGTAATATAGGCTGTCTTGCAATGAACACTCATACAAAGGATTTCCAGTGAAAACTAGATGTATGAGTGCTCATTGCAAGTCAGCGTATATCACGTGATATACGCTCTAATGTGAACGGGGTATAAAGAAAGTCTCTCTAATAAAGCAAAAAAAATCAGAGCCTAAGGCTGTGTTCCATTTGGTGAATTTTCACTTAAATTTGACAGATGGAAATTTTTCAAATAAACCTGCTATTTTACCAGAGTTATGTCTGACAGACCAGGAATAAATTTTGATAAACACCTTCTCGAAAACCGGTCGATCGACAGCACAGGGATTTTCGAACATAGAAAATAACGTTCGAAATGTCACTTTTAACCTCGAAGAAACATGGGTGCCAGTAACATTGCCAAAAGATACATCAACAACTGCTGTTTTGACAGAAATTTTCTTTGGCCGCCTCTATCAACGATTGATTGATTTATCTTTATTTAAGAGACTTTCAGCCTGAGGCTGGTTCGCCTCCAACGCCTCTATCAAAGTCTCTGGGTGTAAACCAAGAGCAAATTTTCATTACGTCGAAAGTAACAAAGGTAAATCGACATGAAACTTAAACTTAATTCTTGATCGAGAATCCATAACGGCCAATTGAAATGTGCAGCAATCCCATATGTCAAAACCATAGTATTATTTTTATCTAGATAAAAATAATTTGTCCGAAATAGATTGAACAAGAACCAGGATAAAGATTTTCCGCGAACACGGCGGCAGATGTCAGTTTTGTGCTTTGATCAGAATTTGTCATGGTAATTTGTATGGTCATCCATGTCGGTTTGTCGGTGCTATCAGTGTCAATCGATGCTTCTGCTATTACCATAGAGGTAACTCCAAGACCAGAAGGCCCCGAAGATACGTGCTCAATTTTTTGGCTCAGCTCTGATACTATCTTCAATTCAAATCAAACATAGTGTAGTACTAGAATTTTGACTCGAATGGGATACGTTAATCGTTTGCTTGGGACCAATAGGCTAGTCAAGCAGTGAGCCAATTTGAAATCGTTAGTTTCGAATTGAATGTTGCTATTACCATAGAGGTAACTCTAAGACCACTGGGTCCCGAAGAAAATCATTATTATTTTTGGCTCACTCAGTACCAGAACAACGGTCCCAAGCAGTCCCAAGCTATTTCACTCACCCCTGCATGTTCTGCATGAATCCACACACCCCTGATGTTATCTGTCAAACTTTCATAGCGAATCAAAACAAACATAGTGTAGTAATAGAATTTCAACTAGAATAGGGTACGTTAATCGTTTGCTTGGGACCAATAGGCTACTAAAGTGGTGAGCCAATTTAAAATCGTTAGTTTCGTATTGATTGTTGCTATTACTCTATATACTGTCCGAATATAGTATCACATCCCAGTTTTTAATTTATTTAAATCTCGATTTAAATACCAACCAAATTGCTTTTTGACGCAATCACCTTCCGATCATTTTTTTTTTCGATATTACTTAAGTCACCCGATTTCTATGGCGATGCCGTTTGCCTCAAGTAACAGCGCCTAGGGGCAAGACAGCTCCCAATCACGAGCAATTTCAGAGTTGCTTTTGAGGCACCTCGAGTAACTCACGTTGCTTAGTGGACGAGATTATTGCCATTTGCTTTCTCACTTTTCGCATCACAGCAACATAACAAAAGCTGCTGTCAAACAAAACACTTGTCAATATATTGTAAGTTTTATTCGAGGTTTTATTCGAGGTTTAATTTCAGTATCATATCTGCAGAAATAATTATTTATTATAGGATCATTTTTCTGGGATAGGATCCGAAATGAAATTGGTGTTGTGCTTCCACACATCAAGAACATTTTGAAATTAGAAGGACTTGCGGCGAACGGTGCGCTGGGTATGCTCTTCCGTGATGACATCATCGTAATAGAGGAGAAAATGCGAGCCCGTGTTAAGGAAGAAATGAGAAATGGATAAGAATCCAGCGAAGACCATGGTCGACTATTATTATTAAAAAATCAGTTTCTCCATCGGCGACGTTCGTGTCTTGGAATTGATCACCATAACAATAAAAAAGACGGTATTGCCAAATATATCCGCAAAGAAGGTGATCAGATCCAGAGTGTCTCTCTGGTCGAGCCGATAAGAGATGAACTAGCCTCAGGCTAAAAATCTCTAAAATAAAGAAAAAAAAAAAAAAAAAAAAATCTGGTCGAGCCGCAAACCATACAAGCCTCAAACATACAAATAGATCTTGTGAGAGAAAGATCCGTCCTGATAGCTCGTTTGCTGCATCAGTTTTCGAAATGTTAAATTGAGTAGTACATACTTATTGCTTATCCGACTTATGTACAATGGAATCCTCCGAATAGTGCGGTGGGCGATGCAGTCGATTTTCACATCAACTACTCTATGCAAAGAAAAAAGCAATACAAAAATGAAACATTTTTACAGAAAATCCACAACACTTAAAGTTCCAGATTTTCAAATTGCGAGATTTAGCCGCCTTCCTAAAGTTCCATTATCATACGTCATGGCGCCATCACGGATCTCGAGATCCAGAAGTCATACTCCAACATGCCATTGTCCAGCGCTGGCATACGAAACATCCCAATTTATATTCACCCCGAGGGGTACCGGGTGTCTTTAATCTGATTGTTCCATCGGTGGCGATGGTAAACGGGAATCGTTTCCGAAGATGTAACGAAAACTCCACTTCTTCCGCTTTCCGCTTCTTTAACTGTCTAAGATTGGAGCCATGTAGGTAAAGTGTTCAGCTTTTCTACGGTACTAACCCTAAAAAATTAATAAAGAAATACGCAGAGGGTCGTAAAGCATTAACTCAGTTTCTGTTTTTGATAAACATTTCATCCGCGGGAGAACTGGAACCCGAAGAATTTCCCATCCACCAACAGTAGATTGGTTCGAGCAAAAAAATCTTTATCCTTGAGACGCTGATTCTTGGTAGCGTAGCATTGCCGTCACGGAATAATCAGCATCAATAAGATTGGTCACTCACCAGTATTTTTCCTCCGCCGCAAACACCGGCACAGTTTCTTCCGTAATATTCAGGTCATAGTTTTAGGTGACGCTTCAGCTTACTTAGTTTACAAAAAAACTGGAGGGTCAACGGACAAAAAAAAATCGATGAACGTCGATTAAATGTTTAGGTACATTGAGTTACTTGCTGCAAAAAAGCAATTTAAAGTAAACCTGTCCCACCCCTAGGTTCTAATATCCAGCTTTCCATGCTCGGTAATGGCGGCCTGTTTGTATGAATAAATGTATCCTTCACTGTACTTTTTGACACTAACTGGAGGGCGTATGTTGTTCCATTTTCTTCTGTTCCTGGGAGAGAGAAAGGGAGGGATCAAAATCCGAACATCCAGATAGTGTCAGAAAGCACAGTGAAGGATACATTTATTCATACAAACAGGCCGCCATTACCGAGCATGGAAAGCTGGATAGTTTTCTTTCCAAAAATGTATGGAGAAAACAAGAATTTTGAATGGTAATGGTTCTTAAAAACCCATTATTTGCAAGGTTCACTTCCAAAAAACCATAATACATAAGGTTAAAACTTTATCACACGAATGTTCATGTTAAGTTCCATAACCATTTCAGTTAAAGTTTAGCAGGGATTATAAACAATTTTTAACCGTTTGTGGTAATCCAACACATACGGTAGTACTTTCGCTACCATCTGCTTGGCATTGGGCCGACACCAGCTGCGGGGACCGGGTACGTCAAAATATGACAGCTAATGTCTGGACAAGGGGTGAGATTCCCTTCGCGGGGTCTTTTTTTTTATCAACTGCGTGTTTTTCCTGCTGACTGCTCGAAAAAGGGTCGCGCAACATTCGCGTTTTTCGGAAGGTGGCAGCAAGTTTATTGTTTTTGTTTCGTGTCACTAAACTTTGACGATTCCATCGTTACCTACATTTTCTTACCACAAATCGATCGTCGGATTAAATAAGTGAAAATCGGTAGCGCGATCCGTGCGGTTTATTTTTTCCGATGAAATAGAACAGCAGCTCGAAGAATCTAACGCGAAATAGTTGCCTCGAGATCGAGACGTGCACTCGCCACCACCGCCGCAGCAACTAGCAGGATGTCCTATCGTATTCTCCGGAAACTGCAGGGCAACGAGCTCGAGATCAAGGAACCGATCGATGAGATTTCGGATGGTGCCGATGCGGACTACGATAGCACTAGCATCAGCAGTCAGAGCCGCATCAAGAAGATCAACATCAATCGATTCGATTTGGTATGTCCGGAGCTGCATTAATCCACCTATGGCCGAAGGTTGACCCTTCTTACATAAATGTTTTTAAACTCGATGATGGTACTGGAATACGGCTTCGGGCGGAAGATCCCTATCATTTCCTCAAGGTTCCACACACTGCTCAGTTATGAGTCACTTTAACTCTGAGTTTGTGTGGAGAAATTTCTAAAAAAAAGCGTATAGGTCACTCAGCGCATGGGTATTCTACGCTTTTAAAAATGTCGCCATACGAATCAGTAAAAGTGACTCACTCACGAGTAAGATTCGTTTTCAGTGTATCCATTTTATCCTCAAATCCGCATTTTATCCACATCAACGAATCAAAAATTCCAAAAATCGTTTTTCTGTTCCAGATATTTTTCTATTTCTTGCAAGATATCCTGAACATCTCTGTTTATCTTCTGTCTATCCCGATGTATTCTTTCAATCCCGCTCGCATGCCATAGCAGCGCTGCGGTCTTTTTAGAAATAAAATGCATCCAAATTAGTGGCGTTCTCCCTGCTTTGGCCTTAACCTGCCTTCCTGTCTGTCAGCCTTAACTATCTACACATTTTCGGTTAAAGCTTCGCTGCCGTAAGCCCCTGAGTCTGCCTCTGATAGATTGTCGAGGTTCTAGAGATTCGGTCTTCCCGTTTTCTGCCAAACGTCAGTTTCTTGTTTTGACGTAGGACTACGTGTGTTATTTCTATATGGAACATGTAACAAAATTGTGAAAGATTTTGAACGTTAATAACTCAGCTGCCCCCTGGACCAATTTCAATAATTTTATCATCAATGGATCAGAAATATTTCTACGCACCTGCTAAATTTAAGACTGTCATTTTTTAAATGTCACTTTTAAAAATTGCACGAATGTGCAACTGCTGCTATGATAATTAAAATTATCACCGATTGCCTGCGAAAAGCGATTTCCCTAACAAGTTGAATTCCATCCGGTCTCACCAAACGATGTTTATTCAATCACCGCGTGGTGAGTAGTGGTGTTCTCCAGCAGCGTTGCCAGATATACCGATTTTCAAACTTGATACCGGTATACAGATAAGGTTTCTCAGAATACCGATGTTTGAGTTTAAATACCGATTTATACCGATTTCTTATTAATGATCAAAATGATTACTGCATATCCGCACTGAATTTTCAAAGGAAACTATTAGGAGAGACCAGGCATGGAAAATCATTTACATTCATTTCGTACATTCATTTACATTCATTTGTCTCTAACTTTTTTCATCACCATAATTCCGTAAAGTAATGTATGAAGCTTTCGTAGGTTTTATAATTAGCTACAACTTTTGTCAATAATTCAAATCTGCATCTCTTATGCATGATGAACGTGAGCAAACTGAATCCACCATTGTTTTTGAGTGAATGTAAATTACATTCACCGAAAAACAATAACATGTTCTGCCCTCTCTAGTTCATCATACATAAGAGATACAGATTTGAATTATTGACAAAATTTGTAGTTGATTATACAACCTACAAAAGCTTCATACATCACTTAACGGAATTCTGTTGATGAAAAAAGTTAGAGACAAATGAATGTCAATGAATGTACGCAATGAATGCAAATGATTTTCCATGCCTGGGAGAGACTTATATTTTTGAAAATTAAAATTTTTGAGTCTGCTCCAAAAACATGTCATCTTTAAAAATATCTTATTCTTGATACTCTTTCGACTAATGCTTCCATTTTCTCGCCGTTTTTGGTTACCAAGGAGTCGAGAAACACCTGTTGACTCATACCGGTTATTTCTGGAAATCGGGAAATACTTTTATTCAGTTGACCCCTTTGTCAAACAGTTTTGGCGTGACTTTCTACCAGAGATTTCACAAAACTGGACCAACTAATTTCTATTTTTTTATGAAACGCACAAATGTTGGCTACTTTTCTCGAGGTTCTAGAAGAAAAAATCTCAAAATAATGTTTCATTTCAAAGTTTGAGTGGTAGTAAACGTCATTTTAACTGCTCGAATGAAGTGGTTAGTTGAAAACAGATCCATAAAAATGTAAATTTTTGAAATTCCTGAAATTTCTTTAGTCATCCCTTTGAAGTTTCTTCCAACTTTCCCTAGGAATTTCCGTTCACCTTACCCTGTAAGTTATTTTTCGATTCCTTCCGGGAAGCTATTTCGACTTCCCTTGAAAGCTTTTTCTAACGGGTGTTTAATAAAAAATGAGATTTTTTTCAGTCATACCTAGCTAGTAAAAAAAAAATCAACGCATTCAGTAATTTTTATTAAAATCATAATGTTTATTCTTCAAAAAAACATCAATGAATATTGGAGAAGGGGCCTTGGTTAGCCGTACCACGCAACGCGATGCTCTCACAAGAGCGCTGGACGGCACTGAAATCATTCTCATTTTTTATTGAACACCCGTTAGCCTCGCTTGAAAGGTTCTTCCGTCTTCTCCCGTCAGTATTTTCCACTTCTCCAGAACTTCAGGAATGCTTCCAGAGTTTTATTGCGGTTCCATTAGCTTCAGGAAGTTCTAAAACTTCAGAATAGTTCGGAATTTTGGGTAGGTTCTGATAAATTAAAGACAGTTTCATTAACTTCTGTTCAAAATCGAAAATCCGGTAATCTCTTCTAAGGAAAGCCCAGAGAACTACAATGAAATTAAGGAAACTGAAACATTTTGGTAACTTCACAAGTCCAAAGAACTTCAAAGAAATTTAATGATTTTCAGGATAGTTCCATTTGTTTCAGAAGAATTGAGATAACTTTAGGAAAGCTCTGAGAACATCAGGACCTATAAATTCAAGGAAATTTCTGAACCTTTAAATGAGTTCCGAGAAATTCAGGAAATTCCGAAAACTTCAGTAAAGTTCCGAGAGGTCTATGAAAATTTTGGAAACGTAAGGGAAGAAGTTTCGAGTACTTCGAGGATGATCAGAGAACTTCAAAACAGCCCTATTGACTTTAGGAAAATTGCAAGAACTTGCAAGGAGTTCCGAGGAATTATGAGATATTCCTAAGTGCAATTCAGGAATGTTCCGAAAACTTCAGGGACATTGTGGGGTTTTCAGGGATGTGAGGAACTTCAGGGAATATTGTGCTAACATCCCCCAGAAATCTATTTCTTCCAGATATTTTCCATCTTCTCCTTGAAGTATCTTTCAGCTGTTCCGAGGTGAACCAGCCTCAGGCTAAAAGCCTCCATAATAAAGGATACTTAACTTAACTTATCCCTGTGCTACTCCGGGATTGGCCTCCGATTTCCACACCGAAAGCTTCTAAACAAAATTCCAGAAGTTTCTCAATATTTGTCTTGGAAGATCCCCATCGGATGTTTTTCCGACATTTCTTAGAACTCCCTTCAAACTTCCTCCACAGGATCTTCCTTATTCTTCCTCTGGAAGTTTTGTCGCTACCATTAAGAGTCAAAATCAAATATTTCCCAGAAATTTCTTTCGACTTACATGGAAATTCCATCATTCGATTTTAGTCCAAAAGTTTGAAAAAATATAAAATTAATTTAAATAGTAAATACCGATAACTACTGATTTTTTAATCATTTGATACCGATAACCATGCAAACAATCTGGCAACGCTGTTCTCCAGTACACAACGAAAGACTGCCTGCAAGCAGCGAGATGCAGCCCACATGAGCATAATGTTATAAATTTGAAATCGGTAGTTCAACGTTCCATGCACCGATTTTTTAATGCATCACGAGAAATTCTTCAACTCAGATCGAACAATTCTTCGATAAGGTTTGACAGTTTCCGATTGGTTGAATTGGATTGCATAATAGACCCTTTGACTTATTAAATGATGAACGAAGTGCTCGAAAACTTGAAGGTTATCATTTTATAAAGAGCTAAAAAATGGTTTGGAATTGATAAATACATAGTTCCATAAAAGTAAACATAGCGTATTATCAATAGTAAAAAAAAGAAAAGTGTAAATTACTAATTTCATCATCTTTTCTGGGGAATGGTACATTCTGGGGATTTTTTTCTGGGTAATGGTTCATTCTGGGGATTTTTTCTCTGGGAAATGGTGCATTCTTGGAAATGGCATTCTGGGGAATGGCTTTCAGGGGAATGTCATACAATCGGACTAGCTTATTGGTCCCAAGCCAATCGGAGCACACATCAATGTGATGAATATAGTGGGTCAGGATAACTGCAACAGACTACTCTTTCTAGCATTCAGCACTACGATGCAAGTGTGAAAGAGTAACCTGTTTTGTTCTGCCGTATCTCCGTCAGTTTTACCGCTGTCGGTATGCCCAAAAGTGTCAGATTATCCAAAAATGTCAAAATCATGTAAGCTATGGTGCATCTATATGTGGGTGACAGGGATAGGGTCCCCCTGCCTTCTAGTCTTAGAGTTACCTCTATTAGGTTTTGCACCGTCGGGATTAACCTCAATCTGATGACAGTTCAGTGGTACTGTTTACGTGGACTTAGTCGTTTTTTTTTTCTTGGGTAGATTTTCTCGATAATTTTTCAGACTGCAGTGAGATGTAAACCACACTTCTGCATTGTCCACGAGAAACATCCTTTCATCGCGCTGTTCCTCGACAATTTTCAAGTTAAAGTTCGGTAATTTTAGAATATTTAATTTCGAAAAAACGACTAAGGCTCTGAACCATTTGGCGAATTATTTTAACTTTTGGTCAAAATTTGACAGATGGAAAGTTATTGATTAACTCTGCTATCCGAGCGTGGTTACTTCTGACAGACAAGAAGTTAAATTTTTACAACCGTGGCTCGAAAACAGGTCGATCGACAGCACGGGGAATTTCGAACATAGAAAATAACTTTCGAAATGTCACTTTTAACCACGAGTTAAATTTAACTCGTGGTTAAAAGTGACATTTCGAAAGTTATTTTCTATGTTCGAAAATCCCTGTGTTGTCGATCAACAGGTTTTCGAGAAGAACTTAGCCAAGGTTGTCAAAATTTAACTTCTTGTCTGTCAGAAGTAACCACGCTCGGATAGCAGGGTTAATCGATAACTTTCCATC